AAAACTTCTGAAGGGTCAATATATTTACCACATACTGAGTTATCATATTTTTGAACATTATTATATAACGAATGAACAAACTTTTTAACTTTCTTTCTGATTTTGGTTTATATGTTGCAAATGCGAAAGATTCAGGCGCAATCCATCTGAAGATAACCGGCATCACCTCTTTCGGTTCTACTTCTAATTGTTTAAAGCTTTGATTTGATGATTTGTAACCAACGAATAAACGCATGCATTTAAAAGCGGCATCACATGTGAAAGCTTTATTTGAAACTAGAGTTGCTTAACTTTGCGTTTAATATATGTGTCACCTAATTGGTTCACATCATGAGCCGGATTTGTAATTCTTAAATGAGTTTGTTTATCATCAAAATATGGAGCATCAGAGTCATAGCATGAACTTTCAAGTTCTTATATTCTTCTACCGTCATTCTTTGCGAATATTTCATTTATCTTTTCGAATGAATGAAAACACATTTCCATTAATCGGTTTAGTGTTTGGCACCAAATAGTTAGTCGTCATTTATTAATAAATAAAAAATCAAAATTAAAGATGAAAATGAATTTTTAATTTTAATGAAATAATCAACTATGGCTGCAGGTATATTTAAGAAACTGTGGGATAAAGTAAAAAGAGGAGCGAGTAAAGTTTGGGAAACATTGAAGAAGGGTGCAAATTGGATATTTAAGAATAAAGAAGCAATTAGTGACGTTGCTGAATCAATAACACCAAAGCTGCCCCAATAAGAGAAGTTTTAAATAAAGGAGAAAAAGTTTATCAAAGATACAACCGATACTAAGATAAAAATAATTTTAAAATAATTTATTTTTCCACTATCTACCTCCTATTTTATTAAGTATTCCTTCAGCTATTCCACAATTGCGTTACCTGCTTGTGCTCCCATCGCCGGATTACCTGCTTTAGTACCTAATACCCCACCTATGATAGTTCCTGCCGTTTTCGCTACTGGTGCCAAAAAGTTTGCAATGGGTTTAATAATCTTTTTATGAACCCAACCCGCAGCTTTCTTAATTCCATCCCATAATTTTTTAAAGAATCCTGCCGCCATTTCTGATTTAATATTAATTAAAAAAATTATTCATCACTTATATTCTAATTTATTTAATGATAAATGAAACCGATTTTAAAAATAAATGAAAGTGAAAATGTTCAACAAAAAATAAACGTTGTTAAACCAATTACTAAAATAAAAAATTTTTCATCTGTTGAAGAATTTAATGACTATTATGCTAATAATAAAAATTATTTGAAGAATTGACAACATGTAAATTGAATAAATGTTTAAATTGATGGATTCAAAATTTCAAAATAAAAGGAGTGGTTAGTTTGAAATCTATTCCTCAATCAAGAATCACCTCATTAATGAAAATAGATGATTTAACAAAAAGAATAGAAGAGATTGAAAAGAATGAATCAAATAATTGATTTCATAAATTCAAATAATCATTAGTTTCTTAAAGTTCAATGTTGAACTCATCAAATTCTTCTTCATCATTACCATTACCTTTAGCGAGTTTATTTACTCTTTCAATTTATCTTTTGATAGTCTATCGTTTAATTTTTTCTGAAGTTTTTCGTTACCAAGTTCTAAATTTTACACGGATGATATTTAAACCCGTTAAATTCTTTTTCCTCAGTTTTAATCATTAATCTACAAAGAACTTTAGTGAGGTGGTTTTGTTGTTTAAACATTTATCCTTATATTTGTATAAATTCAATATCCGGAATTAATTCCCAAATTTTTGAATTTTCGATTAATTTACCATCAAATGCAAAAGCAATAGGTTTAATATTAAACTTACCTTTATAAAATAAACTTTGTATGTAATCATCAAAATAAACGTCTACTTGTTTAACCTGGGTGAGAATTGGTGAAAGTTTATTCATTAATTGATTTACAGTCACGAATTTTGATTCACTCATTTCATACAAAATAAAAAAATAAATTATTCAAAAATGTAAGACATGAATTTTTAAAGTTTATTTTTTATTTCATTATGGTAGTGAATCCTTCATTCATGAAAATAATTATTTCTAATTTCTTTTACTCGTTTATGAGGTCTTTGATTATGACTCCATTGATTCATTCAGGATTTAACAATGTTTAATTAATCGCGGAATATCTGACATCATCTATATATAGCTTCTTTTATAAAAGATAAAAAATAAATTATTTTAAAATTAATGTTAATTTTTTAATGATTTATTTCATTATGTTTGGGCTGAGTGTAAATGTCTTACAATTTTGAAAATTTTTTAAATCTTGATTTATTCAAAAACGTAAGAATAAAAACCGTAAGAATCATACATTTTTTACTTCATATGTTAAAAAAAATGATACAAAATCGTTCAATATTGTATGAATTCTTACGTTTACAAAAAAAGTCACTAAACCCTTCATATCCTACTACTTACGTTTATTTACGTTACCATTTTCTTTATTCTTTTGAATTCCATACTAGACACTTATAGAATATTTTGATTGTTAACGTACTTCATTAGAATGAATCCTTACAAAGGGTATGTCGATCGAATTTACCTAATTGGTATTTCCAATCAGATTGAAGAAGGTAAAATGACATGGGAAGAAGCTTGCACCCATGTTCCCATCGCCCAACCCTTCAATCAAATGATTTCAAATATTTAGATGTTTCAAAATCTTTTTTACAAAATCAAATTTAGCTTACAGAATATCCCATTGCCTAAAGGCAAGAAAGGTCGTAGGGTCAATCCCTACGACCAAATCAAAGCTCTTGCTGTGATACATGACCACTGGGCCTTTCCTGTGGTCAAACAAAACAATGGAAACGTTTGAAATTACAACAAATTGATGTATCTTATAGAGAAGTACGCAGATACTTCAAAGAAAATCATTTCACCAAGACGCGATTAGAGCATGCCGGGCCAGAAACAGCAGTAAGATATTGGACGCTTTCACCCAATCTTATCTCACGCAGATGTTCATTATTTTAGGGGTGTTCGTGGCCAGTATATTTATGGCATAATCGACGATTTTAGCCGCAAAGTCCTAGCGTGTATAAAATACCAGATATGCTGGCAGCGACGACAGCGAACGTTGCGGCTTCCGCCTTCATTGAATTTGGCCCCCTTATTGTTTCTGGACCGACAACGGTTCAGAAAATAGGGGCGCCTTTCAAGATCTACTTGATCTTTGGGGCGTCCAATGGCGGCATACAGACTCTCATTCTCCCTACCAAAATGGGAAGATTGAGAGATTCTGGCCGACATTGGAGTGCTGCCAAAGCATTCAGGCTATTCCTGTCTTTATTTGGGAGTACAATAATAACACACCGCATGAAGATCTCCCAATTAATCCATTAACCGGAACAAATTACACGCCAAATCAAATGCATCAGCTGAAACCGAAATACACAAATGCAGATACAGAAAGGTTGTGGCAAATATGGGATACAGATACAGGCATGACCGCTGTTGACACATTCACAGCGTAATAATAAACATAATTTTTTAATTTCATTTTTAACAAGTTTTTTTAAATGTATGTAATGAATAATTCATTAGAATATGATAATGCACATTGTAACAGAATAGAACAATCACCAAATTTTTTTTGAAATTAAAAAATAAAAGTAAAAAGTATAAAGTAATCTAACCAAAAAAGATATTTAAAAGAATTTTGGAAAAAACAGAATAAGGATAATGATATTATTTTAGATACACAATCGATGTACTGAAGAATAATCCGGTAAAATGATGATATAAAATTAGATTATTTTACAAGTAGCTAAAAGAATAAAACTATAATATAAAATAAATGAAGTTTAATGAAACAATAAAGGTTAAATAAATAATAAAAATTTTTATTTTATATCAGTATTGAGAAGAAGTAACAGCTGACACTTGTTAGACAACTTCTTTATGTCTAGAAAATTCTATCTTGCCTTTTATTTTTCTCGCTGTGAAACGTATTCGGTCATTTTTTTAAAAATTAATTTTTTGTTAGAGATAAGAGCTAAAACTCGGTAAACAACTTCTTTATGTCTAGAAAATTCTATCTTGCCTTTTATTTTTTTCTCGCTGTGAAACGTATTCGGTCATTTTTTAAAAATTAATTTTTTGTTAGAGATAAGAGCTAAAACTCGGTAAACAACTTCTTTATGTCTAGAAAATTCTATCTTGCCTTTTATTTTTTTCTCGCTGTGAAACGTATTCGGTCATTTTTTTAAAAATTAATTTTTTGTTAGAGATAAGAGCTAAAACTTTGCAGACAACTCCCCCATGTCTAGCAAATTTAACATTCGTCTCCCATTTTTATATATTTGTTTAGAATGTTCGAAAATGCGTAATATGGTCATTAATATTAATTGAAAAGAACCTTGAATTAATTCAATCTGATCTCACAAAATATTTTAAATTACAAACTTTGTAGTTTGAATAGATAATTAGTATTAAACTCAAATAACTAGTTTATTTTGAATAAAAATTATTTGAATTTATTCAATTTTGTGAATTTTCCTTCAAAAATCAAGTTTAAATATCTTATTTGCCATATAATTATAAATACAATGAAACATATTCGAAATTGAAAAGAATGACTTTTTCTGTTCTTTCAATCATTCAATTTGAATTTTGCAATATTGGATTTCTCATTAAATAGCTATTAAAAACAACAAGCAATTTAACTTACATTCAAATTTATTTGTGTTATATTCAATCTTCTCAAAACTTATAATTTTCGGCTATAGCATTATTATATGCTATATAATATAATAAACCTATAATAGTATCATTCTTTCAATTATTTGAAGAGAAAACCGAAAAAATCTATTTTCGGTCTATAACATCAAATTTATGTTCAACAAATAAATATTATAATTTTAATTGCTCTTTCTTAAACAACATTTTTTATTAAAACAAAATCTTGTCGTTTTGAATAGTTTACATATAAGCCAGTAAGAACAACTCAATGTCTTTCAAATGCATTGATATTATTATGCAAACACGTCCGTCGAATAGACATAAAAGGAACACTGCTCAAAGCATGAGGGATCATGAAAAAATACAAAAAAGATTGCAATCAAATGGCGTTATGCCCGACTACATTTCTGCTTTTCTGGAAAAAACATATGGACGTTACTTCACATCAGCATCACTACTTTTACTAGCAAACAATGCTGTTTCAAAGCTCAATTTATCAATCGATCGATTGGCTAAAAGAAATCGTCAGGCACTCCTATGCTGGTATGCAGAAAACTGGGAAAAAATTTTCCCGCTTATCTCGAACTCTGCATTTGCCCACAGTTTGATTCATGGAAACATTGATTCCGATGAATCAAATGAAGAGAGAATCAATTTAATTGAGATAGAATACAATAATCCTATTGATCCAAGGGACATATCTCAACTTTTGAATTCGCATTAGTGTTCTATTCTTTATTTTGTTAAATTTTTTTAAAATCAATCATTCATTTCTTGCTTATGAATGAGAATGTTAATAATAAAAATTATCATGTCTAAAATTTAAATTTTTTCAAGTCCAATAAAAAATTATGAATTTTTGAAAGTTTAATATGAAAAAAATCAAGATATTTTGTGTTTTTAATAAAAATAGTCCCAATCAAAATAAATTTAAAATAGGAACAATGAAGATTGGATTTCATTTTGATTCATTGTCGGGTAATTTACAAAAAATAAAAAAAAATGTGAAAAAATAATTACATATTTTTTGTGTATTTGTATGGAATGTTATATCTTAAAAACGTATCTTCTATTTATGGCTTGATTTTTTTTTGAATTCGAATATTTTTTTTTGAAATAATTGTAAATTTGCCATTTAATCAATAAATCTTATTTATCAAAAACAATTAGTGATTTTTGATCGTCATTTTTGCAATTTTGTTATTGTTTTTAATACAATGAGGAAATGTATATTTTATTAACGCTTTCATATACCGGAATGAGTAATGCTTTTCATTGTTTAAGGAAATGAAGTTTCAATTTTCTTTTGATGGAGAAATAAGCACTTTTCGAGTAATTTTTGTGAATTGTTATTTTTTTGAAATATTGCATGTGTAAAGTGTGAACAGTTCCTAAATATTTCGAAGAATTTCGGTAAATAAATTTAATGAAGTTTTGAAAATGCATACAATTCAGTATGTCGGTTTAACACAATTTTTTGAAAGCAAAGATTTTAAAATGCACACAATTTTAGGAATACATTGAAAATATATTCAGTTATCGTTTTACCACACATGCCTGCATGTAACTTTTAACATTTTCTTCAAATATTTTTACGCCCATCTGATTGTTTTTTTTACAACATCATCAATTTTTAAATTACGAATATCAATTCTATTAATATATTCCAAATTAGAAATAAAAACAACCTTTTTTTTGTGTCAAAAGTAATTCAAGAAAAATGAAAATCTTTTGTTGATAAAAATATATAAGTTCGGCATTATTCCTGCACTATCTACAGGATGTTCAAATGATCTACAGCAATCACCCTCTTTTTTTTAATTTTCAAAAATATTCGCAATTTTGTTCTACAGCATCATTTTTCTGCCATTCACTATGATATAATTTACATTGCTTATTAAATATAATTCATGCATTTTCATTTTTTTTATATTTTTATCCATTCCAAAATTTAATATGTTCGATAAATTACATAAAAAGCGACAAAAATTACTGACTATACAATTCTTCTTTAAAGTGATCACTAATTCCTTTTTTTTTCTACTTGCAATGTTTGGGTTAATTTTTTTTAGTATTTTCAATTCCGGAATAGAAATTAAAATCAAGCTTTGTTAAGTAAAAAATACCATCTAGTTTGATTGTTTATTATCGATGATAAAAAAAATTATCAATTTTTAACCCGAACAAAACATTGTATTAAACCTCACAATTCATAATAAAATTCCAAAACAACGAACAAACTAAACTTCAAGAAATATTTTTCCCTATTGCTTTTTATATTTGGTTATTTTATATTCAAAACTAAAAATCGATGGCAATCCTATCAAGTACTCTAATGGTTATTTTTATTATTCCTTCATTTAAACCTTAATCCAATTAAAAACGATAGAAATTTCATCATAGAAATAGAAACAAAAGCCATATACACTAAACATATTTATTTATTGAAATAAAAAATAATAATAATAATAAAAAATTAATTGTGATATCCTATTGAAAAAATTGTTACAAAATTTACATTTAAAAACTGATGTTAAGAACATTATATAAAAACAAAATTTTATGAAAGCTTATCTCAAAAGTTCAAATTTTATATTCATTCAATAAATTCTTTGATCAACCAACTTATTACCCTATATTTCCAACTCTTGGAAAATTTTCATGACCCCCTACCCAGGATCCTAAAATGGGTATTTTCCTCACACAGACACAGTGGTTTTTTGAGCCGGGAAATAAATAGCGCAGACAGTTTCTACATATAGAGACATGCTTATACTTAGAGTTGGACGGGAATCTAAAGTGATTTTTTTCTGCATCGCGAAATCTAATGCAATCTCAAAATCATGAAGAAACTGCGAATCGGAGCGCAATTTTTAATATGTTAATATATAAAGGTACCCCTACTACTGCAAATGCTTCAAATGAAAATCTAAGAAATCAGATTAATTTGATCACATTAGTATAGTATTGGTCAAACCAAAAACTCATATGTTGATATATAGCCTATAGATATTCATATTATCTACTTTTCATTGAATTACATAAGATTTAATAATCTCATAAATATTCTTTTTAATTTTCCGAATTCCGTGTGCAATTAGATTGCCTATACCTGTATATAATAATTCTAGAATGGTTTGGTTAGATATTAAGTTTTTTAGATTAATATTTTAACATTTTGATAAAACAAGCATTTGTTCTATTTTAGAATCGCCATTGAACTCTAGTTTGACTAACATGATGTTGTATGATCAAATAAATTCTAACTTCATGAGATAAATTTTGAAATTAGAAAATGCGATATCTGACTCAAATATTTATCTGAACACATTTAACATTCAATGATAAACTAAAGTACTATACAGCAGATTCGATTTGGCTTATATTTTATATAATCAACTAATAATCCTATAAAATTGTGCTATTCACGTTGCTCAAAGATGTATTGAACATTCCCTACTTGTGTATTGATAAAATTAGATATAGATTCTAATGTAAATCGATATTTTGAAAATTCATATATATTTTGTCTTGGTTTGGCATTTGATCGTGTTGAAACCGGAATTGCAATATATATCATCTAAATATATAACTATCAAAATATGAGCTATAGATTTTTAAATTATTCTCCTGAATATGAGTGACTAACATAATTATATTGAATTGAGTAGTAAGAATCATAAATATTAGAATCTGACGATAATTTATTATAACTTTATATAGGAACAAGATTATAAATGATGATGAAAATAAAGATTAAATTTAAATCTGAAAATTTGAAAACATTAAGTGTATATGATAGCATTACAAAATTAAATTTTATGTGGAAGAGGAAATAGAGGAATTAGAAGTATTATGAGAAAATAATAAGATATAAAAACAAGATTCTATTAAATGTGTTAATTTATAGAAAGGAATAACAGTGTGAATGTAGTAAATGAATGTTTTCATGATGTATTATTGAAATCTTAAGTTTTGTTAAGAAGATAATAAGGGAATCAAATTTTGTATTAGGAAGTTTGACCAACAAGAGTGCATTATGCACTCTTGTCGGTCTGCATGTCTCATTCTGGGAGACATTGTCACTGCATGTCTCCCAGAATGAGACAATCTTCTGCAATCAGAATGTGATTGCAAAACTTTGACCGACAAGAGTGTATTGTGCACTCCTGTCGGTCGCAGTGTCTCATTCAGGGAGACATTGTCACTGCATGTCTCCCAGAATGAGACAATCTTCTGCAATCAGAATGTGGTTGCAAAACTTTGACCGACAAGAGTGCACAATACACTCTTGTCGATCTAAATGTATCTTACAATCAAAGACACTTTCATACAATCTTTTCGAAGTTAAAAAAAAAATTAATTATTTCTTTTTTTTGTTTATTAAATCGCCTTACTCACGTACTAATCTATTTTAGAGACTCTATCGAGCTATCCCCACATATAAACCCGTGACAATAATACATATTTACTCTCTTCATATTCTGATCTCATGACACATTATCGCAAAAACTATATTTATACAACACACCTCATAAAGTCTCATTTTAGCCCTATCTAAGCGTTCAAAACCTATTTTCCACACGTAATCTGATTCTTCTGGCTCCGCTGATTCGATTTCTGCTGTCAGATCGTGAAAATATGCATCACATAAAGAGATAAACACAACTCAAAATTATTGCTTTTTTTTCAAATTGTCTATTCATCCATCTTTACATATTTATTATCTCCTCCGTTTCCCCTCACAAATTCTTTTAATTTTCTGAATAATACGTATAATAAAATTAATATCTCAAAAACTAAAACACAAAATTAATGTTGGAAAATGACTAGATATAATCTGTGTTGTAAACAGAAATTCATCAAACGTGACACCTCAGAAAAGCTAAAATATTGAATTTTTGGAACTTTTGATAGAGCACGTTTTTAAATATTAATTAAAGTAAATGTATATTTTGTAAAGATTCTTTTTAATAAAAAAATAAAATTTTGAAGAAGAACACAAAATCTTCTGAAAAATAATATCACATAAACTCATATTATTTTCTAATATATAACTATTTTATATAAAAATCAAATTCAATGATCTTAAAAGCGAAGGATAAACCTCAAAATTTACGAATATAATGAGTGGGAATATAATGCTTATCTATCATAAAACCATATGAAATATCAATTTTTGCTTTACGCCTAATTTTTGACGACAATTAGCAAAAAATGTTAAATGTTAACACTCAGTCCATTTGAATATGAAAAATAAAATTGACTTTGATTAAATGTTTTTATTTATCATGCAATTCTTCTTGCGACCAAAGATTTGAATAAAAGTTCAAAAAATAAGATAGCTTAAAAAATAATATACGGTAGTGTTTACTAATAGATGAATAGTATATAAATTCTATTAAAATGGATTTGATCCAAAAAAATATAAAACCAAAAATAATTGTTATAATTTAAATGAAGAAGTAATTTAAAACGATTTTATTTATGATCAAATTTTATATATTTTTTTGGATCAAATCCATTTTAATAGAATTTATATACTATTCATCTATTAGTAAACACTACCGTATATTATTTTTTAAGCTATCTTATTTTTTGAACTTTTATTCAAATCTTTGGTCGCAAGAAGAATTGCATGATAAATAAAAACATTTATTCAAAGTCAATTTTATTTTTCATATTCAAATGGACTGAGTGTTAACATTTAACATTTTTTGCTAATTGTCGTCAAAAATTAGGCGTAAAGCAAAAATTGATATTTCATATGGTTTTATGATAGATAAGCATTATATTCCCACTCATTATATTCGTAAATTTTGAGGTTTATCCTTCGCTTTTAAGATCATTGAATTTGATTTTTATATAAAATAGTTATATATTAGAAAATAATATGAGTTTATGTGATATTATTTTTCAGAAGATTTCATTCTATATGCCTATGAAAAGTACTCTCAAAACTAACTTTTCCCTAATTATAATTAAATCTAGAATATTGTATTATGCTTAGTATTATTTCATTTTTCTCATTCAATTTAGAATTTACAAATGTCAAAAAATTGAGAGCTGTCACTTTTGATGAATTTCTGTTTATTACATCTGAACTTTTGAATTCATACATTTTTGGAAAAAATTGAATTTTCAAAAAAAGAGCTTATTTAGGTATGAACCTGAAGAGAAATTTTAAGGAAAATATTAAGTTGTGCAATTTGCATTTATCTCTTTATGTGATGCATATTTTCACGATCTGACAGCAGAAATCGAATCAGCGGAGCCAGAAGAATCAGATTACGTGTGGAAAATAGGTTTTGAACGCTTAGATAGGGCTAAAATGAGACTTTATGAGGTGTGTTGTATAAATATAGTTTTTGCGATAATGTGTCATGAGATCAGAATATGAAGAGAGTAAATATGTATTATTGTCACGGGTTTATATGTGGGGATAGCTCGATAGAGTCTCTAAAATAGATTAGTACGTGAGTAAGGCGATTTAATAAACAAAAAAAAGAAATAATTAATTTTTTTTTTAACTTCGAAAAGATTGTATGAAAGTGTCTTTGATTGTAAGATACATTTAGATCGACAAGAGTGTATTGTGCACTCTTGTCGGTCAAAGTTTTGCAACCACATTCTGATTGCAGAAGATTGTCTCATTCTGGGAGACATGCAGTGACAATGTCTCCCAGAATGAGACATGCAGACCGACAAGAGTGCATAATACACTCTTGTCGGTCAAAGTTTTGCAATCGCGTTGTGATTGCAAAAGATTGTGCTATTCATGCATATTTTCTACGAGCCTGCTTCATAAAATTGAATCCTTCTATCCAAATTAAATGCGATTTCGCTAATCTTTCATCTAAAATCACTAATCAGAAGCATATTGCAAGTTAACTTGAACCGGCATGTTCCTCCTATCCTGTCTTTCAGTTCTTTCTATCAGCCATGGTTCACAAGGAGGAGAGCTTTGCGCACAATCAAACAGAAGATTGCGGCAGAGGAACCGGGAAGAGAGCAGCTTGAAGCGGTAAGCTGTTTTCAAGTCTTTAGTTAACAAACTTTAACAAAAGACATCTAAAAAATTTGAAATAATTGCAAAATAATGCCGTCAGGTAATGCGCACCTAAGGGAGGTGTTTTGCGGGAGCTGGGGTATCTTGGTGAGTACTCAGGAGGCCAAGAAGGGCACCCCAACCGACATTTTGCTGACGCATTGTGTAAGCAACCATTCTGATAACCGCTCAAACCGTCGGGACAAAATAATTTATGAAATTATAAGTCATCTTTCTAATACATATTTTTGGAAGGGCGTAAGATACGCCAACTTAAATATATTATTAAATATGAGAAAATCACTCAACAAAAAAACAATTCTTTCAAAAAGTTTAAAATTTATCTTTCTAATACATATTTTTGGAAGGGCGTAAGATACGCCAACTTAAATATATTATTAAATATGAGAAAATCACTCAACAAAAAAACAATTCTTTCAAAAAGTTTAAAATTTATCTTTCTAATACATATTTTTGGAAGGGCGTAAGAGACGCCAACTTAAATATATTATTTTAAAATTATGAGAAAATCACTCAACAAAAAAACAATTCTTTCAAAAAGTTTAAAATTTATCTTTCTAATACATATCCTATGGAAGGAGTTTACATTCACAAAATAAAAACCAGTTCAAAATCTTATTACTCCTTGAATTAAATCATTTAATTTCAAATCCATTCCAAATCCTTAAATCTGTATTAAAATCATTTTGTCAACAACCAACACAATACAAATTACATTTCCATATATCTTCTTGTCCATTTTAATTTTTTATCTCATTTTATTTAATTTTATTTAAAGCATATAGACATCGAGATCCTTTACACATAGTTATATAAAAGTCAAATACATAATAAATTCTTAATTCTAGAGATATCTCAAAATCTCAATTTTTTAATTTAAAATACCTTTCATTTTTCACAGTACTATCACAACAAACAAGCCATTTACTAATTAACACATATAAGAAAAATATCAAATTACAAAACAACTTTCAATATCATTCGCATCGAATTCTATTTTTTCATAATTATCAACTACATGTTATTATATAATATATGTCGGCGCATATTCCACTCTATACAAGTGTCAGACACACTCACACAAAGCTGTGAGATTCATACCTCTATCAGTAGGACTTCTCAAATCAAGAACACATATGTTTCACTATCGCACATCTGTGTAGGATCTAATTAACCCTTTGGACTGGTACTTCAAAATTTGATAATTTGATAATTTCATGTGATATCATCATTTGCCTTTAAAACAACTGTGAGTTAAACTAGACACGTTTCTCTATCATAATGCAAAATATCAAAGTTTGGGAGACTCCCAAAGTGTCTGAAACTGATCATAAGGGTGAAAAACCGTTTTCCAGAAGTTGGGAACGTAGGGTATAATAATACCATTTATAATTTTCCTAGCTATGCTTAAGCAACAAAAATTTTCAATACAACATCAAATTTCAAGGAGTGATTGAATGTCTGAGAAAATTATTTTTATATGATGCTTTATATTTTTACCCTTCTTTATGTTGCTGAATCAATGAAGAAACCATGTGGCCATATGAGGATTCATAATAGACATACTCCAGCTCCAAAACATCTAAGATCTTCATCCCGAACATTCATTCCATTTCAACCAATTAGAATAACGATGGATTACAGCTACATTAATGGATCGGTAAATGATCCACTACGTTGCACTCATGATGGTCAAGAAATTTGGTGGTTACAAGGTTATAATTGTTCCACCAAAGATATCATTACAGAACAACAGCAAAATATCATTATACAAACATTAGAAAATGTGAAGACTTACTTTGAACATTTATTATCGGTTCAAAGATTATCAAGTGGATTTTATTTAGAAAATTATGCAAATTTTACGGCAATTCCAAAGAACAAATTTGTAGAAAATGTTGATATGTATGTAACTCCTGTTCTACGCCCATTTGGTAATGAATCAAATACGATCGCATCAGCAGGTGCAGTGCAGTTAGAAGAAAGCTTTAGTAGACCTATCCTCTCGTAAACGAAAAAGAGGATTTGACGCAGTCAAATCCTCTCTCTCAAAAAGTGGACTTTACATGACAAATTTCAAATGCATGTAAGGTCCACTTTGATCAGTTTCAGGATGGAATTAGAGGCCATGAGGTACTGACATTGCATCAGTATCTCATAGCCTCCAATCCCTTCAAAAAATGGGAGAAACTTTGGTCGAATAATTTAACATTCGGCCAAAGTTTCTCCCATAATTAATGAGAATGAAAGGGTAAGAGGCATATAGGGTCACTATATACCTCTTACCCTTTCATTTTCATTTGGAGGTCAACAAACCCGGAGTTAATTGCAAACAATTAACTCCAAATTTGTTTATGTTAAGGAAGGAATTGGAGGGTAAGAGACATAGTATGAATATGTACCTCTTACCCTGCAATTCTTCTAGAAAGTTCCAAAACTTTGGGTTAATTGCAAACTATTAACCCAAAAATTTTGGAACTTTCAAGTGGAGATGGAAGGCTTTGGGGTATACATTAATATAATATACCTCAAAGCCTTCCATCTCCACTACAAATGGGAGAAACTTTGTCCGAATAGTTTAACATTCGGACAAAGTTTCTCCCCATCTTTCAATGTAATTGCTACCTGTGAGGTACTGACTTGAAGTCAGTGCTTCACAGGTAGCAATATCCAAAAATTTAAAAACATTTTATCAGTTCGTTAGAGAACTAGAGCCTCCTAGGTACTGAACCAGAATCAGTGCCTAGGGGACACTAGTGATCTATATAAATCTGAGAAACTTTGAGGAAATTGTTCGACATTTCCTCAAAGTTTCTCAGCAATTTAGCGAGGAATGTTCGTTATCGTGTAGATATTTATAATATATACATGATAACAAACATTCCCCGCTAAAAGATGTAAAATCTTATAAGAAATAATTGCAAAAGAATAACAAATTGCAACAAATTTTATATGAAACTGAACCTTATGAGGTAGTGATTCAAGATCACCGCCTCATAAGATTCAGTTTCAATCTCAAGTATCTCAAAAGTAAGGCTCTATTTTTTGCCATGTAAAGTGTCACTTTTCTTCCAAACCGTTTTTATCGTTTTCGTTTACAACAATCCAAGGTGCAATTTTTATCAATGCAGCTTTTATTCCATCTAATGTAAGCAATTATAATGATTGGAACAACAACTACTTCTTTGTATTAGTACATGAAATGTGCCATGCATTCGGAATAACTCCATCTTTGTATCACGTGTATCATCCTCGTAACGATCCTAAACCACATAAGAATATTACTTGTTCGTTTAAAAAATCTGGAAAAACATTTACATTTTTAAACACTCCCCAAGCACATATATTTGCTGTCAATCATTTTGGCCAGGAATATTTTTATGGTGATAATGGTGAATATTGCTGGTCAGGAATTGAACTTGAAGATGGTGGTGGAGAAGAAACAGCCTTGGCTCACCCAGAATCCCGCGTTTACATGAGCGAAATGATGGTTGGAGTAAATATTCAAACACACAACGGCCCTTTTAACCGTTTGACCGATGTTTCAATGTCATTTTTGATTGATACTGGAAATTATGACGTTAATTGGTCAATGCTACAACCAATAGTTTGGGGAAACAAAGATTCAATTGATGGAAATCCAATTGAAAATTTTGCGACTGGAGCAGCTCAAATGTCATTCCCTGCTTTATATCTTTATAACAACACATATCCTCAAGAATCAGGATTCTCTTTTAAATTCTATGGAAACAGTGATTCAATCAATACTGTTTCGTGTCCAAATAATAATTCCTATTACAATCATTATTGTAATGGAAAAGAATTCTACAATGTCTTGGATTCTTCTAAAATAGGCGATGATTGGTCATATGATTATATTCCATTTAAATATCCATCAAATGTTTGCAAAACCGGTGACGCTGTTCTTCCAGGAATGCTGACATGTGGAAATTATTCATGCAATGGTTTTGATAGTTTCTCCATTAATGCAGTTTCTCCTGACAAATATAACAAACAATATATTATTAATTGCACAAAAGACACCATCGGAAAAACGTTTTCAAAACGCGTCCAGAATGCATGGGGAAGTACAACAGCAAATATTATTTGCCCAAATCCAGAAAGATTCTGTAGATCAGTCACCTTAGAAGAGATGCACTTTACATCAAATCCTTTTGTTGAAGGCGCTAAGTTAGAGATAAAAGTATCAAGCACACCCCTTCAAATAGTTCATAATAAGACAAGATTGCCTCCATATATCATTTTAACTATAGGTATTGTTGTATTTGCCGTTGTTGCATTTACAGGCGTGGCTATTTTTGATTATTTTTATTTACACTCTTCAGAAAAGAAGGAAGATCCCGAAGAAAATGATAATGAGGCTATTGATATTTAATAACATAATAATTATATATATTTTATTCCTTTTGTTTATTTAAGTATCTAAAATACCATTTATCGCCTGAAAAGCACCCTTAATTTATGCCAATTGACAAAATAAAGATATGTTTAGAATGCTGATATGATGGAGAATCATGCTGCATCATTATTGGCCAGCAATGTATAATATTTAAGAAATCTACGAGATTATCTGATTTCATGAAACTCAATGTATACTAAGTTTCAGACTTTGAAATTTTAACATGTTGATATGGGTACATAGGGTTTATGATTCCAGTCATTTATTTAAAAAATTACAAAAATGAATTAATATGATGTGAGTAACAATGGTAATAAACGCTTAATTACTAATATATTATTTCTTGGTAGGAATGAAATGTTTTGGTGACATTTATAGAAGTTAAGCTGAGAATCAAAAATGCAAAAATTATTTTAAATATTACAAGCATTATTTGATGTCATTGAGTTTAGAGTCGTGTAGATATATGAGTACAATATGTTATTGATGTATATATGCAATAATTGTGAAAATGAAATGTGAATCTCAAGATGAGTTGCATGTTACTGCGCTATAATTTGAATTCAATACGTACATAACATTACTAAATGTATTTTAAGATAATACAAAAAATTAAGCTTGCAAAAAGATATCGAAATGTAATTTTCATTAGATTCAAAGTTCTGAATAGATTTTGATTTTAACTATTGATGAGTTTGTCAAACCTCTATAATAATAGAATGTAGAACTAATTAAATATAATTAATAAAAAAATACAAATTTAAGTGATATTATAAGAGATATATGTGATGTTACCAATATGATATGATATTGGAGAACTGATAGAATTGTGATGTGAGACTAAATATGATTTTATTATGAATAGGAGAATAATATTAGAAGAATTTCTTGAATTTAATGTATCTGAATATGTAATTGGGCATATATTCTATATATATATTGGTAGGTTAACTAGAAATAAGAAGATGAAAGATTGTTAATGAATAATATGAGATTAAGCGAAAATATATTGTTCTAATAGATGAGTGTTGAGATCCAATATATATGAAGAGGGATATGTGAGAGGAAATATGTATATTTAATAAAATAAGCGATGAGAGAAAAAATAACAAAGATTTATATGAAATTTTGAGTATTGAAAAAGCTCGATTAGTGATTTTATGTCTGTTAAAGGAATAGATATTCTAGGAGAAAGATAAATTGAATTAAAGAAGAATAAAAAAAGTTGATTAAGATTGATAAAAATATTGAATTGTATGACAATGGAAAGAAGGAATAAATTGGTGTTGGTATGACGGTATCATTTCGGGAGACATTGCCTCTGCATGTCTCCCAGAATGAGACAATCTTCTGCAATCAGAATGTGATTGCAAAACTTTGACCGACAAGAGTGTATTATGCACTCCTGTCGGTCGCAGTGTCTCATTCTGGGAGACATTGCCTCTGCATGTCTCCCAGAATGGAACAATGTTCCGCATTGATAACTTGAACGCGGAAGTTTGACCGACAAGAGTGTATTGTGCACTCCTGTCGGTCGCAGTGTCTCATTCTGGGAGACATTGCCTCTGCATGTCTCCCAGAATGGAACAATGTTCCGCATTGATAACTTGAACGCGGAAGTTTGACCGACAAGAGTGTATTATGCACTCCTGTCGGTCGCAGTGTCTCATTCTGGGAGACATTGCCTCTGCATGTCTCCCAGAATGGAACAATGTTCCGCATTGAATTGAACGCAAGTTTGACCGACAAGAGTGTATTGTGCACTCCTGTCGGTCGCAGTGTCTCATTCTGGGAGACATTGCCTCTGCATGTCTCCCAGAATGGAACAATGTTCCATCAGAATTGATTGCAAATTTGACCGACAAGAGTGTATTGTGCACTCCTGTCGGTCGCAGTGTCTCATTCGGGAGACATTGCCTCTGCATGTCTCCCAGAATGGAACAATGTTCCGCATTGATAACTTGAACGCGGAAGTTTGACCGACAAGAGTGTATTGTGCACTCCTGTCGGTCAAAGTTTTGCAATCACATTCTGATTGCAGAAAATTGTCTCATTCTGGGAGATATGCAGAGGCAATGTCTCCCTGAATGAGACACTGCGACCGACAGGAGTGCATAATGCACTCTTGTCGGTCAAACTTCCGCGTTCAGGTTATCAATGCGGAACATTGTTCCATTCTGGGAGACATGCAGAGGCAATGTCTCCCTGAATGAGACACTGCGACCGACAAGAGTGCACAATACACTCTTGTCGGTCAAAGTTTTGCAATCACATTCTGATTGCAGAAAATTGTCTCATTCTGGGAGACATGCAGAGGCAATGTCTCCCTGAATGAGACACTGCGACCGACAAGAGTGCACAATACACTCTTGTCGGTCAAAGTTTTGCAATCACATTCTGATTGCAGAAGATTGTCTCATTCTGGGAGACATGCAGAGGCAATGTCTCCCTGAATGAGACATGCAGACTGACAAGAGTGCACAATACACTCTTGTCGGTCAAACTTCCGCGTTCAAGTTATCAATGCGGAACATTGTTCCATTCTGGGAGACATGCAGAGGCAATGTCTCCCTGAATGAGACACTGCGACCGACAGGAGTGCATAATGCACTCTTGTCGGTCAAACTTCCGCGTTCAGGTTATCAATGCGGAACATTGTTCCATTCTGGGAGACATGCAGAGGCAATGTCTCCCTGAATGAGACACTGCGACCGACAGGAGTGCATAATGCACTCTTGTCGGTCAAAGTTTTGCAATCACATTCTGATTGCAGAAGATTGTCTCATTCTGGGAGACATGCAGAGGCAATGTCTCCCTGAATGAGACATGCAGACTGACAGGAGTGCATAATGCACTCTTGTCGGTCAAACTTCCGCGTTCAAGTTATCAATGCGGAACATTGTTCCATTCTGGGAGACATGCAGAGGCAATGTCTCCCTGAATGAGACACTGCGACCGACAGGAGTGCATAATGCACTCTTGTCGGTCAAACTTCCGCGTTCAAGTTATGAACGCGGAACATTGTTCCATTCGAGGAGCCCTCGAAAAGAACCTCACATCGACTCTTTCTTTCCGGCATCTTTACCGCATAGAAAACTGCTCGTTCGCAACTTTGTGTGCAATCTAAGAGATGATTGCGGTAAAGATGCCGGGAAGATTGATGCTGCAGCCCAGGCCGCACTCAGATTTCATCCCGCTACACAATTGTTCACCCAACAACTGTCATAGAGGTTGAAATTTTCGACCAGAAGTGAAACATATCATTTTTAAGACTGCGGCGCGCAAGCAAGTTTGAACCTTTCAAGGGTGATCAGTCCTTTACTCATTTCAAGACCTCTTGTTGCCTGATAAAACGATACTTCCTTTCCTTGTGGCCATTGAAAACCGCCCAAACCGTCACAACTTGCTTCCTAAATTTTATTTGCGGAGTAATTATCATGCATATTTTATCGGATAATAATATCAAAGCTAAATTTCATATTATTTTTTAAAGATATGCATTTTCTGTCTAAATTTATTTTTTCTGTTTCCAATTCACGGAATAATATTCTTACAAGCATATGCATAGCTAATATATATCATTTTAATAATAATAAAACCAAAATGATGTATTCTTCATATAGTTATTTAAAATTCGTTAACTAGAATTGTATTCAGAACGAGGCAAAGTTAGGAGATACATAAAAACCAATAACTTGATAAGTGATACCTTTTTTCCTGATATATCTATATGTGTTAATGTCAAACACGATTTGGAAAAATTAATTCTTTAAATCGGCTTAAGAATAAGACCAACATCAAAAGCATGGCTAATAAATTAATAAATCAATGTTTAATTACCGATTCATGCATTTTTTTCAAAATTTCAAATTTCAAATTTTTGTTTCTCCAAAATATTTATTGTTTCCACTAGATTAACAAATAAACAATAAATTGGATTAATGTAATGCCCAATCATTCATTTTAAATTTTAGATTTAAAACAATATTTTTCTCCATATTATTATAACATGAATCGCTATGATATAAGAAATATATTTTCAATATTGAAATTGAAAAATTCTAAAATTTTTGAAATTCAATTTGAGTGTGATGATCGATAACATATATTTTTTAATTAAAATCTTGTGTCGCTATCATATAAATATACTATTTCTAAATTAAAAATAGAAAAAAGTACTATTTAATGATGAAATTGCAAATAATATCAATATATATATATTCATGCTGATATATTTTGGGAACAGATTGGCAATCACATAAATAGGATTGTGTTAGTTTGTCATGGATATAAAACAAATTTTCGAGCTAATTGAGCGAATTTAAATCACAAACACTTATATTTTCTATTACAAGGTATATTTGTAATATGCAACCAGTAAATAGCTTTCTCTAACTTTTACCAGCTTAGATGATAGCAAATTAGATACGAATTTCATGACCCCTCACCAAATTCCACTAAAACATATACAAATAAAAGTACTAAGTGGGTATCATCTAACCCTAGAATTATAGCTCCTAGGACTCATCCTAGATGGTAGTTCTGGAAAAACACCTGGTTTTTGGAGTTGCAAAAGTTAAAAATTGAGGGTATTTGATATTATATTTTGAATTTGATATTTTGCTTTCAAAATATAGACCAAACTAAATATGTAATAAACAGAAATTCATCAAAAGTGACAGCTCTCAATTTTTTGACATTTGTAAATTCTAAATTGAATGAGAAAAATGAAATAATACTAAGCATAATACAATATTCTAGATTTAATTATAATTAGGAAAAAGTTAGTTTTGAGAGTACTTTTCATAGGCATATAGAATGAAATCTTCTGAAAAATAATATCACATAAACTCATATTATTTTCTAATATATAACTATTTTATATAAAAATCAAATTCAATGATCTTAAAAGCGAAGGATAAACCTCAAAATTTACGAATATAATGAGTGGGAATATAATGCTTATCTATCATAAAACCATATGAAATATCAATTTTTGCTTTACGCCTAATTTTTGACGACAATTAGCAAAAAATGTTAAATGTTAACACTCAGTCCATTTGAATATGAAAAATAAAATTGACTTTGATTAAATGTTTTTATTTATCATGCAATTCTTCTTGCGACCAAAGATTTGAATAAAAGTTCAAAAAATAAGATAGCTTAAAAAATAATATACGGTAGTGTTTACTAATAGATGAATAGTATATAAATTCTATTAAAATGGATTTGATCCAAAAAAATATATAAAATTTGATCATAAATAAAATCGTTTTAAATTACTTCTTCATTTAAATTATAACAATTATTTTTGGTTAGGGCTGTACAAGATTTAAAAAAACATTGCCGGGTTACCGTAGAGGCCTAAAAAAATCGCGCCTCGGCGGCAAGCCGCCTCGGCATTAAGAATGCGCATCTAAATTTTTATATGTCCTTCTTTCTTTTATTTTTCCCTTCCCTTTCTTTTCTTTTTCTTTTTTTTCCCTCCTCTTGCTCTCATTTACCTTTTTTTCCTTTTCTCATCATTTTTCAAAATTTAAAATTTTTATCAAAAATCTTGCCTATAAAAGCAGACTATGGAACCTTTTAATGCCTCTTAATCAATATTATACAGCATAAAGCATATTAAATGAAAGTAATTACGTATAAATTTATTTTATTATCTTATTTATTAATTCTTTAGCATGTATTGTTTAATATTAACTTTTCTGTACATTAAATATGATATCTCCAAAGTATGAATGCCTTGTAACGAAACGAAAACTTAATTTTATGTTGAATATTTGTCACAAACATTAGATTATTAAAATATATGTTGGATATCCCTTAGTATGAGACTTCATGACTCTTGTAGTCTAACGTGAGCTTTGGATTGCAAGCTCTGTGGTTAACGAACATAAATTAATTGTAAAGTTTTCAAAATTTTTCATCGTTTCTATCAGCATCTATTTTTCCTTTAAAATAATATATTTGTATGAATACAATATTTAGTAATTTTTTTATTTCCCATAATTTCATTCAAAATTTCAGAAACAATTAATTTCTATTCAATATTATTTCAGCTTCAAAACACTTCATTCTTATAGATGTTGATTCACTAAAGTGTGATACTCAATGTCTTATTTCAATGAAAATTGTTCTGCAAATTTATTTCACTTTTGACCTCACTTTTTCCGTAATTCAATTTTTTACTTTTAATATTTTAGATCTTCATAATATCATTTGAAAAATTAACCATATAAAAAAATCAAGTTAACAATTCACTTTTTCCGTAATTCAAAAATCAAAAATATAAATAATATATCTTTTTATCAAATATTATTATTATATTAAAAAAAAAAAAAAAAAAAAAGGAAAAAAAAAAAAAAAAAAGGGAGTGGGGCTTCCAGGCACTTCGTGCCTTCTAGCCCTGAGGATGAATGGTATAATGAAGCTTTTATTCGGAAAATTGTTAGTCTTCTTGGTCGAAAACATTATATAATGTTTCACTTTTCACAAATTATATATGTTTTCATGTTTTGTCAAGACTTCTTCGTAAATGTTTTGTCAAGACTTCTTCTTCGTAAATGTTTTGTCAAGACTTCTTCTTCGTAAATGTTTTGTCAAGACTTCTTCTTCGTAAATGTTTTGTCAAGACTTCTTCTTCGTAAATGTTTTGTCAAGACTTCTTCGTAAATGTTTTGTCAAGACTTCTTCGTAAATGTTTTGTCAAGACTTCTTCGTAAATGTTTTGTCAAGACTTCTTCGTAAATGTTTTGTCAAGACTTCTTCTTCGTAAATGTTTTGTCAAGACTTCTTCGTAAATGTTTTGTCAAGACTTCTTCGTAAAATCAGACAAAAATATATTTTAGGTGAAGAGGTGAGATTTCACCTGTTTTTTCACCTCATTTCTCACCTCTTGAATTTTCATGAAATTTACACCAAAAATATATTTTAGGTGAAGAGGTGAGATTTCACCTGTTTTTTCACCTAATTTTTCACCCTCTTGAATTTTACACCAAAAATATATTTTAGGTGAAGAGGTGAGATTTCACCTGTTTTTTCACCTAATTTTTCACCCTCTTGAATTTTCATGAAATTTACACCAAAAATATACTACTAGGGTCATTTACGAAGAAATCTCAACAAAGTCTTTACGAAGAAATCTCAACAAAGTCTTTACGAAGAAATCTCAACAAAGTCTTTACGAAGAAGTCTTAACAAAGTCTTTACGAAGAAGTCTTAACAAAGTCTTTACGAAGAAATTCATGAAAATTCAAGAGGTGAGAAATGAGGTGAAAAAAGAGGTGAAATCTCACCTCTTCACCTAAAATATATTTTTGGGTCATTTACACTCATTTACGAAGAAATCTCAACAAAGTCTTTACGAAGAAATCTCAACAAAGTCTTTACGAAGAAGTCACAATAAAACGTCTGTCAAAAGCCGCTTTTTAACTTCACTTAAAATGCCACGTAAGCTACGTAAGAATATACGTAAGAGGAAGAGAGCATTGAAACATCCAATAGTAAAACTGACACCACAACAACAGTTGCAACAACAAATGCTGAATGACCCCACTATGTTGCAACAAATGTCAAGCAATCCTATGCTTTTAAACCGAGTTCTTGGTGCACAGAGTGGAGGTTTAAGAGCGGCACTTTTAGCGAAAATGGCAGGCTATGGTGGAGCTGCAGACGGAACAGCATATAACCCTCAAAGTCAAATGAATTTGAGTTCACTCAAAAATCAAATAACAGATGTCAAAAAGTCAAACATAGACATACAGAAGCAAATAAGCGAAAACGAAAAGAAACTAGAATATGACAGACACACAAAGAAACTCAATGAGTTAAACGTAGAGAAAAAGAAGAAAGAGAACAACTGAAAGAACTAAGTACAGAGCAATATGCGAAAAAAGTGTCAGAAAAGCAGCAGAAGTAGCAAAAATGGAACAAGATGTCATAAATTTGAAAAACCATACTACTCAATATAAAGTACTGAAGATGAAGAGATAAAACAAAAAGCCCTGAAGACATATATGGATAGCGATGAGTATAAAAAGAAGTTGAAGCAAATGTAAAGGCAGAAAAACTTTTACAGTTGCAAAACCAAACCGTACAGTATGAAAACTTAGCACAAGAAAGTAAAAATAACGACGCAGCCATGCAAAAGGCAATGAAAAGCGCAGAATATATAAAAGCTAACAATGACTGGTTAGATGCCCAAGCCAACGCTAAAGCAGCCCAACTCATAGGGTCAATAAGGACAAAAATACAAGCGGATGAAGACAGTTCAAATGAAGCTTTAACAAATGCTGACTTTAAGAACGCCTTCGAAGCTCTTCATAGTAAGGTGAAACAAGTGAACGACTTCTCATCTGGAAAGAAACTGAAGTCTGAAGGTTTCGACAAAGAGTTAAGAGAAGTAGCACAAAATATGACGAAAATAACAGATGCAGCAACGAGACAGGCAGTTCAAAGTGCCTATGACGCCGTTAGAGCAACTGTTGTGAAAAGTCAAGAAAAAGAGTTACAACAGACCAAAACAGACCTAGTAAATGCTTTCTTAAGAACGAAAAGTCAGGTAGGACATTACGCTGCAGATGGAACATATGTGCCAGCTGGTGGAACTTATATACCACCAAACCCTCCAAGAGAAGCACCTGCACCAGGACTACCTAAAACATTTACATCGTCACATGGACACAGACACAGGCATGCACCAAAACCAACACAACAACCAGCACAACAACCAACAGTTCAAAACCCTGCACAACAACCACCTCCACAACCAGCACAACAACCAGCACCACAACCAACAGTTCAAAACCCTGCACAACAACAACCACAAACAGAGCAAGGACATAAAAGAAGTAGAGAACAAGGAAACCAAGAATTCTTAAAAATGCTTAAAGAAGAGTGTGGTTTCCCAGATACTGTTGACTTTAGTGACAGATATAAAGAAGCTATTAGAAAGTTCAAGGATGGAAATACTGACCCGAACCTATTTAGCTTTATGGCTCAGCACCAAAACGGATATAATCTCAAACCTGGAAAATACAAGCTCGCTAAGGGATATGATTTAATAGCATATCATCCAAATGACATGGATGAATTTACTCCGAGATATTTGATGTCAGAGCTAAATGACAATTCAACTTTCGTCATGAAACGCGTAAAAAATAGAGACGGAACGAAAGAACAAAAGCTTATGAATGCGGATGACGTAGATAGGAAATTGTTAAAAACGGTCTCGGAATATATGAAATGCCAGCAGATGAGGTACAAGAAACTCCACAGGAAGAAATAGTTCAGATACAACCAGACATGGAAGAAATAGTTCAGCAACAACAGCTAGAAGAGCCTGAAGGAAACGAACAAGTCCTTCCTTTGGAAACTAACTTCACAGAACTAGATGAAGATTTGGAACAGCCGAAAAATCTTGACCCTCAACAAGAGTATGCGGAGAATATGGAATATTTCCAAGAGTCTAAAAAAAATTCGGCTGACATAGTAGAAGAATATCGAAAAATGTTTGCCGACATACAAAAGACTCCAACACCAGATGAAAATATTCAGCATAGAATGGAAGTACTGAAAAAAAATGTACACAAATACAACAACCCTTTTCTTACGAGCATTTAACGTTCAATCTTCGGATGAACTCGGTGAAGATAAAAGGTTAAATTTCAAGAAAACATATAGAAATGAAACATTGTTTAAAGTTCATTCAGAACCTAACCAAGATGGAAACAAACCTACTTTTGTTTCTGCAGACGATGGAACTACAATGAGATGGGGTCATAAAGCTAATCCAGATAGGTGGTTCATAAACTTACAACCACAATTCCAAGAAGTTGTAGACGCAATGGAAGTGAATGGTGAACCAGATATAGCTGGTATTTTCAGCGCGGCTTTAATGCCATTGAAAGATATGAAAGATGCAGATATTTTGGACCAGTATGAAATGAACATGGCTGAAGGAAATATAAACACCTGACGTTCTAAAACATTTATCTCAAAGAACTACACAGAACCATAGAGATGGTATATTTGGTGAAGAGTTTAGAAAGAAAGTTAGGGAGGGAGAAGGAAGAGAACCTATTGTACATGACCTTGCAAACGAAAGTTTGCAAAATGTCATAAAAACTTACTTTGCAGACAATGAATCGAGAAGGATGAATATTTAAGAAAACTCAAATGGACAGTACCAAATGAAATGTTAGTATTGAAAAACATGTTCCTTGACAAAATAAAACCAACTACAGAAATAAACGACGCAAGACTGAAAGATTGGGTAGAAGCTTTCCCCCATTCACAAAAGATATAGTTGGTAACATGGAAAGAAAACCAGAATGGCTACAAAAACATATATTTGGAAACGGCATATTCCATATGGACAAGCTCTGTTTGAAGAGCTTGAACCAGAAACTCAGGAAAGAGTCATGCAAACAATACGCGAAGACTCAAATACAAACTATGACAAACTCTTTCTAGGATATAGGTTACCTGAGATGGGCGACCAGAGCCAAAAGGCAAAAGGACATGGAAATTTGCAACATACTAGATGAAAACATAATGCAAAGATGCAACAACTTCAAGCAGAGGGCAATGAAGGAAAAAGAAGAGTTAAAAACTCAGTCAGGAAGAAAGTAAAGCTTGGTCCGAGTGGGTTCTATTATGATATATAAATCCAACTATTCTATATTTTTACCCATATGAAATGTACGCCGCTCAGAATAAACGCCAACAGTTTTTGGATGCTATGAATGGAAATGTTTCCGAATGGTATAACGAATGCGACAATGCCATTAGAAGGTCAGAAATAGTTCCTGGAACTTACGAATATACAACTGCTGTTTCTTATGGAAACGTAGGTGAGTTTGGAGAAGGTTCTTCAACAACAGTAGATATTGCTTGCGACAGGTTTCATATAATTTCTATTGACAACTCTTTCTTATACGTGGAACAAGACATTGAAATAAAACCTTCTGCCAAGTTGTCTGACAAGAAAGGTTGCAATGGAATTTTCTATGTCGGATACCAATATGCTCCAGAAGTTTTCATGGGATATAAGATATATTCTAACTCTGACTTAGTCAAACAGTAACATGGGCAAACTATGAATGGTTCGCTTTGAGAAACTCAGTACAACCACAAGGCTAGAGAACAAACAGACCAGTATGCAACTATTGAGAAAATAAGAAGACTTGACCCTAACGTTCCAGGAGTTTATGTTAACCTTTCTGGACAAACTGCAGCAGCAGTAACCAAAGTAAAATTGAAACTTAGAGTTCCTTTGTCATCTTTCCTCATCTTCAGGTTTTTAAGATACTTGCCAAACTGGGCAGGAAAAATTTCTATTGAACTTACTCCAAGCAAAAATAACTTAGTCATTGCACCAACACAAGACCCATTCACTCTTACAGAAGTAGTGGGAACAAATAAAATGTCATTCGCCGACTTTTGCAAAAACAAAGTTGACTTAGACTTTGGTTTTCAAACCTCAACACTGAAGTAAACTATTATTTCAATGCTGCTGGAGATGCTTGGGACCCAGTTAAGTTCACATGCGAAAAGTTTGAATGCAAGAGAATAGAAAGCAGACTTGCAGTCTATATGTTGGACCCAGATATTTCAAATGCTTTAGCTGCCAAATATATTGCAGTTCCACTTATGTTTCCCTATACACCAAAATATCTGTCAAAGACTTTGCAGGTGAAGTTGGAAACCAAAATCCAGGAACCGCAGTGCAAGAACAGATATTGCTTTAACAACTGCAATGAAACACGCAGATACTATGTTTGTACTGTTCAGACGAACTATAAATGACTATTCTTGCTTCTACAACCCTGGTATTAAATATCATATAAACATAGATGGCAAATATATCCAAGAGAAGAATATTCTACAGGTTGAGGATATGAGGTCATACAACTTGACATTAGATGCTATGAACTTTAACAACAACTTCACAACAACCATTAACCCTGAAATGCAAAGTTCTATTATGCCATATGTGAAAGTATGGACCCATACAGGAAGTCAAAAAAACTCAATATACAAATGGAGACCGTTCAAACTTTTGGCTTGGCATTCCAATTTGCTGATCAGAAGACTTTATGGGTGGTATTTCAACTGTTGGTACAGTTCAAATACAATATACTGGTGACAGAGACGGTCCAAATGAATTGAAAGCAAAGAAGTTTACAAAACCAATAGCACTTTTCCACGGAAGATGCTCTTTTGAAAATTCGTTCGATGAAACCTGCTGGGGCTCCTCAGATTGGCATAACGACAGCTTCCATCGAGCAGATTTTGGCAGCAGGTCAGTAAGTTGTTCTTGAACTGACTTCTCTCCGTCAAATATTGACAGTACGCCAGTTTTGACATAAAATTGTAAGATAAACTTACCTTTAGAAATATCGGTCAGTTTTGTTGTTATATTTTTGTCAACGTCAAGAACTTTCACCATTTCAGTTATACCAACTTTCTTTGCTTTATGAAAATATTTTGGTTCAGCAAAGACTGCTATTCTATAACATTTTCCATTGTTTGTATAAAGAACTATTCTATCAATGAACTTGTATTGTTGTGTGTGTGTAAACTTTGTTTTGCTTCAATTCGAAGAGATACTCAAATACGTCCATCTTTTTATTCTAAGTAAAATGTCATTTCCGAAAAATAGAAGCGTAAGTGTTTCAAAAGGTTTAATGGCGGTGGCAGATGTGAAGTTAAATTCACCAACTCAAACAAACAGTCAAAGTGTTGTTGTCAATGTCAAAGACAGAGATGTTGAAGTGGGGAAACCATACGAAGACGAAAGATGGTATAACAATAGTTCCTGTAAAAGAACCAACATACCCTGAAGTTAGCAGAGACTTAAGTTCTGTTGCAGATATTCGAACGACTACCAACAACTTAAAGACAAACTTAAAACTCAGGAGAAGATTTGTCAGGCTTTGGGTATAATGTTAAACTTGGTCGAACACAACCCTGTAAAAGTGAACTCATATGTCATCGCACCTCATGAAATTTTGAAAGAACTATTGAAACTTTTGACAGAGGCAGACGATATAAACATCAAAGAAATAGAACCCGACATTGCTTGCTGTGGTGTTTCATATAATGTCATTGACAAGATATACGTTATGAAAGGAGGTGAAACGTTGAACTTAAAATATAGTTTCCCAGACGTCATAAAAATATTTGACGACCACAACATTTCATTAAAATTTAGTTGCTAAGTAAAAAATGTCAAAACTTCTTGAAAGATGTTTGAAGAAAAATAATATAGACTTTATTTCATGTAAAGGACTTTACACACTTTTGAACGATATGAAAGACCCTGTTTTGTTTGTTCGTGTAGACAAAGGAAAGTTCTATGTCTTTACAAAATATTTGAACTTCTTAGACAGAGAACTTCAAGAAACGCCATGTGAAAGTTTAGATGAAGTTCTTCTCCACTTTCAGAAAAACTTTTAAATATATGTAAATGGCAGAAGACATAGTGGTTTATACTATTACGACTAAAAACCCTGAGTCATATAATTCTATAACAACAAACTTACAAAGTCCTCAAGGACGGTATTGTAAACTAACTTTAAACACAATGACGACTAAAGCCTGTTTTGCTCTTTTGACACCAGAAGACTTTGTTGTTGTGAATGGTAAAAAATACTTCTTTGAAGATACTTACTCAGATATACCACCAACAGGTTTTGTTGACTTATTTAATACTTTAAGGACGGATGTAACATGTGCTGCAACTAGAGCAGGTTTCATTATGTTTGGATGTCCGACTGAGTTTAGTATAAACGATATGAGCTATAATACAAAACTTATATCTGGTTTTTACTACCAACAGTTTCCTATAACAGGAAAAGGTGTCATACAAGGTTTGTCTGTTCCATTGACTTTAAGTACACCTATTTTATATATTGTTTCAAACTTAGGTTCAAAGTGCTATTCGAATGTCGACAGAAACTACTATGACCAAAAGATACTCATGCGTATAAACAACACTTTCTCTGCTGGTTTGCCTATTGTTCATTCGAATGCAGAGTTTTCAGCTTTAGTAAACTCAAACACTTTAGCAAACATAAACTTAACCTTAGTCGACGCAAACTTTGTTCCTGTAAAACTTTTATGTCCTATGTATTTGTCAATGACGGCAGAAAGTTTCGAATTGGAAGATGCAACTGGTGAAAGTATTGTATACAGAACAACTTCAACAACAAATAGCTCAAGAACAACAAATGCAACAAATGGAACAAATGCAACAACAAAGTCAAGAATAAAAAAAATATTTTTTTTTTATTTTTATAAAATGTACAGAATAGACGTTTCAGATTTTTATGACTTCCAAGCGTTCAGAAATATGTGTCCATTTCGAGACTATAACAAAGCAGTCGAGAATTTGAAACGTTTAGTCATTTATGTCGACTCTGCCCCAGAATGTTATGTCATGAAGGATTGGGATGTTGTCTTAACAAACCAAGAGCAACCATAGTTTCAGAACAAGAATGTAGACAGAAACTTAAGAAAATAAAAGTTGTACAAGTTGGCATGAAAATGTTAGATGCTTGGGATATCTTATTGTCGAAGTTAGAAGATTTTTCAGTTCGTGGTATAAAGTTCTATACACCATCTCCAAACTTCTATTCTATCTTCACTGGATATAAATACGAACAAGTAGAATGGAAAGAAAATGTTATAGAAGCTTGGTTAGACCATGTCAAAGAAATTATATGCAATGGAAACGAAAGAGTCTATGAGTATATTTTATGTTGGTTTGCAAACATCTTACAATATCCAAGTGCTAAAAATGAAACTGCTCTCATTATAATTGGAAAACAAGGAACAGGTAAGAACACATTCTTTACAGATATCTTATGCAAACTGTTAGAAGGTTATTCGAACCCGAATATGACAAACATAGAAAACATCTGTGGCAAGTTTAACTCCTCAATAGAGAATATGAAACTTATAGTTTGCAATGAACTTCAAAGTATAGATACAACAAAAGTTTTGAACTCAGATGCTTTGAAGAGTCTTATAACAGACAAAGTTGGAGTTGTTGAAAGAAAGTATAAAGACCAAAGAGTTTGTGAAAATGTTGCAAACTTCATTATGGTTTCAAACAATGCTGTTCCGATGAAGTTAGAAAGTTCTGACAGAAGATATGTAGTTGTCAGAACGTCAGAAGCTCATATGCAAGATACAGAATATTTTGACGACTTAGCAGAAACTTTGACACCTAACTTTTACAACCACTTGTTCTCATATTTCATGACATTAGATATTTCTAAGTTCAATCCAAGACAAATTCCACATACCGAAGAAAGACAAACATTGTTAGAAGCAAACAAGAGTGTATATGAACTGTTTATAGATGAGACTAACTTTGTGTCATTAGATGAAAGGTCATTGTACGATTCATATAAACAATATTGTCAAGAGTATGGTTATATGGCAGCGTCTAAACGAACATTCTTGGCAAATGTCAAAAATCTTTTAGACATACAGAACGGCGTATATACAAAGAAAAATTTTTCTGAGTAAATTTTTAAAAAATATTTTTTTATTTTATTTGAAATGTACGCTGAGTTTGTTGGAGAAGACCGTTGGGAAACTTGTTTGTTAGATGAGAAATATGAAATTCACTGTTGTGAGTCATTTGAAGTCAGAAACAAAAAGACAAAAAGAGTTTTAAGCGAATGGGAGCGAAATGACGGATATGCTGATATGAAGATGGGTGGAAAACACTATCTTAAACATGTTGTCATTGCAACTCATTTTATACTGAATCCTAACAATTTACCTTTTGTAGACCATATAAACCGTATAAGAAACGACAATAGACTTGAAAACTTACGTTGGGTCACTGGTTCTGAAAACAATAAGAACAAAAGCAAATTTGGAGATATAGTATTCGAATTTGTCGACGAACTAGAAGATGAAGCAATTGAAATTACAGACTATGGCAAGCATACGTTTGAGTTTTACTACTACAGCGAAGAACAGGACTCTTTCTACTTTTATACCGGCGTAAACTATAGAAAATTACAAGTATGTTTTACTAAGGCAGACTATGCTTATGTATACGCTAGAGATACAGATGGAAAATACGTTAGACTATTTCTTAACAAATTCAAGAAGCTATATGGCATACCATTTTAAAACGTTTTTAAAAAAAAATATTTTTTTATCCGATAGAAAAGATGACGAAATATATTTCAGTCAACAAATATATGACAGAAGTCAAAGATAAGTTAGCTCCATTCACATATTTGAATGTTTACTTCTACCATTTTGAAAAGTCTACATTTGACAAAGTTTGGAACATCGAACCCGTTAAGTTTGCTATTGTGACTAAAAATGGTGCGAAATTTGAAGACTTAGACATAGAAGGTTTGTTAGCAGTCAAAGAAAATTTTGACAGAAGGTTCTCAAACCTTAAAGAAGGCAAAGCATACAAACTTGTTATACCTTATGAACCAAAGAAAGCAGACGACTATGAATATTATGAGTCTAAGATAGTTGAAGTTCAAGGTAAATTGGGTAAAAAGATTTTAGAGTCTAAGCCAGTGTTTGCTCCTAAAGAGGAAGAGAACATTGACATTGACCCAGAAATGTTCTAAAAATAAAATTTTATTTTTACATGTCAAATTTCTTTTTCTCTGGAACTGGTTCAGGTTCTTTTTTCTCTTCTTCTACTTTCTTTTCTTTCTTTTCTCTCTTCTTCTTCTTCTCTGGTGGAGTTATGTCAAATTTGGCGCAACCATATTTATGTAAAAGTTCTTTGTCCTTTAATAGCTCTTCTATTCTGTTTCCTATTTCATCTTCAAGAACAGCGCATGTGTCTTCTTTGCATTCTAAGAACTTTTGTTGGACTTCATCTTTCCAATCGGCGTCATCTCTGTCAACAAGTCTGTCATTGACAAATTTTAAGACTTCTCTGCCTAATGTTTTATGGTTCTTGTCATATTCCCAGAAACAGAACTTTAGAACAAATTCACCTTTCTTGTTTACACTATGTAAGATTTTATGGTCGACAGATGTTTTAGAGTCGAAAAGTTTGTCTCGAATATAGATAGCGAAATCGCTAGACATTTTCTAAAAGATAAAAATTTTAATTTTTCTAAAATATGTTAGAAAAAAAGTTTGCTGACATTGACAAGAAATTTGAGAATGTTTTAAATAAGAACAAGAGGAAGTTAGAAAATGCTCAGATAAAACCCATACATGACAAGTTCTTATTTGCTCAGAATGGTATAACAGGTCTAATCGCACCACCTGGGTCGGGTAAGACTTTCACTTATCTTAAAATGGCTGCACAACAACAAGAACTAGATGAGAAGAACCCATTCTATGAGTTAGTTGTTATTTGTAGTACTTCTGGTCAATTCGATCAAACCGTCAATTCGTTCAAAGATATTATAAAGAAGTCTAAGTTAGTATGTATAAAAGACTCTGAGTTGTTAGATTGGATAAAGAAGTACCAAAGAAGAGTTTTGAAGTACAATGCTATAAATGAGTATGTCAATTCGAAGTTTAAAGACCCAAATGAGGAAATGCAGAGAATATTAGAGAAGAAACACTTCAGAAACAAACAGAAAGAGATAGAATACATTTCGAAGAAATTGCAATCTTACGATTGGAAGACTTACCCTCACAGATGTCTTCTTATCTTAGATGACTTTGCTTCTCATCCTTTGTTAAAGAACAGAGAACAAGACATGTGTCGAATTCTTAAGAAGCTCAGACACTTTAACATCTCAGTTGTCATTTGTGTACAGACAGCCAAGAGTTTAAGTAAGGATGTAAAGAGAATACTTACTGACATTGTACTTTTCCCTGGATTGTCCGAAGACGATTTCATGGAACTTATGAAAGAGTCCATGGCAGGTAAGTTTGACAGACATGAACTATGGGAGAAGTACAAAGTCATACAAGACCCTCATACTTCTTTCAGAATTCACATCTACGCGAACAAAGTTCAAATTGTGAGGGGTCAAGCTTGAAAAATGTAAGTGTTTAGTCTTAGTAAGTCTGTTGTGGTGCTGGGGCTGTCGGTTCTTCTGGCTGTGGAATGGACTCGGTTGGTGGTACGTCGGACATTCGTTTGTGTCTTAACCGTCTTTGTTCTGAAACAATATAATATTGTCTTGAAAAAGTACAATATTGTCTTGAAAAAGTACAACATTGTCTTGAAAAAGTACAACATTGTCTTGAAAAAGTACAACATTGTCTTGAAAAAGTACAACATTGTTCTGAAAAAGTTCAAGACTTGTTCTGAAAAAGTACAGCCGTACTCAAATTTGAGAGACATTGTACTGAATTTATACAACATTGTACTGAATTTATACAACATTGTTCTGAAAAAGTACAATATTGTACTGAATTTATACAACATTGTCTTGAAAAAGTACAACATTGTCTTGAAAAAGTACAACATTGTCTTGAAAAAGTACAACATTGTTCTGAAAAAGTTCAAGACTTGTTCTGAAAAAGTACAGCCGTACTCAAATTTGAGAGACATTGTACTGAATTTATACAACATTGTACTGAATTTATACAACATTGTTCTGAAAAAGTACAATATTGTACTGAATTTATACAACATTGTCTTGAAAAAGTACAACATTGTCTTGAAACAATAAAAGACTTGTCTTGAAACAATGACCGACATAGACCCAGCAGATGAGGCAATTTACTTTATAGAGCTACCTGAGCCATCTTTGGTGTCAAGCTTGAAAAATAAATGGTTCATCTACTCTACTTGTTTGAAGTTGTCAAAATACTCTGTTATTTTTTCCTTCAGTAGCGGCAAATCTTCTTTGAAGGTAAGTATTGTACAACCTTTCATATCATAGTGTGTTTGAGGTAACGTATCTTGAACTATTTGTTTCACATCTTCATTTGGGGTCATTGAAATCGGTAAGTTTTCGCGATAGAACCAATTTCTGTCAGATTTGTAAATCTTAGCAAGGTCGTAAAAGCTTTTGTTGTTTTCTTCTGACTAATGCAACATAACCATATCTCTGTCTTCTTCATTTTCCATCTCTTCAGTATAAATCATATACTTATAGTTCTTTTCCTTTCCTTTTGGTACCGAACGTGGTATTCTTTTCTGAATGCTTTTGTCTTTTGCTTCAAGCTTGTTCTCTAGCTCTTCACGTTCTTGTCTATGAATTTCGTCAAGAAGTTTACAAACATACCATGAATAGCGAGCTGAAGCCCATTGTGCCACATTATTTACAAGAAGTCTATGTACATAATATCCTCTCAAACCGTTTGGCAATTTTTCACGATTTTCATAGAGTTTTGGCGACTGGGGTTTTTCTCCCACTCGCTGTTCTTCACGATTTTCAGAAAAAAGTATGTCTCGCTGTGCTTCATTTAATAGTTCAATAGTGCTTTGGTTCCTAAACCAGTCTTTAGGAAGCTTAGTATCTGGAGCAAAACATGCTGTCAAAATACTTTGCATTTGGTACATGTCATCTTTGACCGAACGAATGAGACGTAACTGTTTGTTATACTGTATGTACTCATATTCTTCATTTATAGCTTCATGGACTATAACTGTTGTTGTGTTCTCTGTTGTTGACATATCTGTCTTTACATACAAAATAAAAAAATAAAAAAAAATAAAATTAGCGTTATTTTCTATCTTGTATAAAAGACCAAAAATAAACGCTTTACATGTATTTTTCAGCAACTTCGTCAAATAATTTTATAGCTTTATCTATCTCATCTACTTCAAACGTTTCTTTACCTTTCGTGGGAGCACCATACATTTTCTCAAACTTTTCAAGCAGTTCTGTTTCTGCAGCTCTCATATCGTTAACAAACACAACCTTAACTCTATTGACTGTAGAGTCATATCTTTTAGTTATATTAAATGTTCTTCCTATCTTATATCTCTTTGTATTGAAGTCTTTCGGTTTCTGAACGATGTAAAGTAAGCCTTCACTGCAACGTTCTGAGTCGAATGAACCATATGTTATGAAATTATATCCAACAACTGGGTCAATCCATAACAAAACTACTGGTATAAGACTTTTGTCGATGAGATATGCTCTTGTTCCATAGAATCTTACCGATATCATAAGCTCAGGATTTCTTGTCAAAATTTTCTGAGTTGAAGCATTTCTAACCCAGTCGTGGGATGTTTTCTTTTCAGATAGTGTTAGAATGTCTGACAAAGAATATTTGTTGTATTTCTTTGAGTATCTTACGTTTAAATCACCAATTCTAACCATTTTGGTGTCATTGTCTATCTTTCTAACTGTTTCAAACTCAATGTTTAACATTTCTGTTCTTACATACAAAATAAAAAAAATAAAAAAAATAAAAACTAACTTTTTTTTTCTGTCTTAAGGAAATTCATGAATTTTGTTGCTGAATTCAATAAAAATATATTTTAGGTGAAGAGGTGAGATTTCACCTCTTTTTTCACCTGTTTTTTCACCTCATGAATTTTCATGATTTCATCGTAAATGTTTTGTCAAAACTTCTTCGTAATGAGCGTAAATGACCCAAAAATATATTTTAGGTGAAGAGGTGAGATTTCACCTCTTTTTTCACCTGTTTTTTCACCTCAGTTATTTTATAAGCGTTTTACATGAATTGTACGATGTATATTTGAAATTCTAAACAATTTCGTAGCTTCTATTTCTTCTTTTAGTATGTCAAATGTTTTAACGATACCGAAGGTTTCTTTATATTTCTTCTTGACATCTGAAAGAAGGAAATCGTCTGCTGTTGGATAGTTTTTGTTCAGAAATGTCAACATGTCCATTTTATCTTCTGCTGGTTTCTCTGCTTCTTTCTTTAAATCTGCATAGTCGTTTCGCATACGTTCTATCTCTTTGACGGAGTAGTTATATTTCCTCATTGCTGCCTTACATTTAGAACATTGCGGGTTCATTTTTGCGTTATATTCTGAAACCTTACCTGCTAGTATGACTAAGGCGTCAATTGCTCTCTTTAACTCAAAAGTTGCGGGTTTTATCTGTTCATTCCATATCTTACCTCTTCTATCTTTATCTCTTATCTGCCATACACATTCAGCAACTAACGAAACAAAGTTGTCGTAGGTCTTAAACTCCCCAGATTTATATATGTCAGAAACATTTTTATATACCATATCGCAATCTTTGTCCATGACTTTGTGGTTGCAATGAAATCCAAGAAACTCATAGTTAACCTTTCGTATGAACTTCTTTATTTCTACTGAGTCAGTTGCTTTGACTTCTATTTCATCGAATTCAGGAATAGTAAGCTTTTGTTGTTGTATTTCAGGAAGTTTAGGTAGATGGTCAATAATATCCTGCATTTCATAAAGATACTGTTCATTTGTTTCATCTTTCGCACTACAGTCTAAATCTCCTTGGAGAAGTTCTTGCTTTATCTTCTGGATTTCTGTTTCGAAAGTATATGAAGAAGGAATGAAGCTTTTCATTTCTACTAACATTGACGTAGGATTCATAACTAACGAGTTTGGTGCTGTTGTTGCTAACATGTTCTTACAATAAAAATAAAAAAAAATATTTTATAAAAAACTAAAATATATTTTTTATCTTAAGGAAATTCATGAAAATCCAACGGGTGAAAAAAGAGGTGAAAAAAGAGGTGAAATCTCACCTCTTCACCTAAAATATATTTTTGTCGAGTTCAGCAACAAATTCAAGAGTTTTGTGTGTTTTCTACGGTGGTAGAAATGAGGGTGAAAAAACAGGTGAAAAAAGAGGTGAAATCTCACCTCTTCACCTAAAATATATTTTTGTCGAAAAAAATGGTTCATTTACTCACAATATTTTTGTACAAAACGACCCCAAACTTTTAACTTCTTTTCTGCAGCTTCTAATGCTATCTTAGCGAGTTCATATTCTCTAAATTCTCTCTTTAAATCTTCTTGTTCCCATTGGTCTAGTTCGTATGGCGAGTCTCTATAACCAGAACATATCTCACGTTCATGTTCTATTTGTTTTTCATGCATTTTTCTAACTTCTTCTTCGAACAAAGGTTTTGCATTCTCTACTGTATCTTCAAGTTCTTCTTCATCTAACTTCTCATGAACTTTCTTGTCTATGGAGTCCAGAATTTTTCCAACTGCTATACAATATTTTGGAGAAGCCCACATTGCAATATAGTTTACGAGTCTTGGGTCTACATACATTCCTCTAACCTGTTTGATTTCATCAGGAATTCCTGCATGAACATTGTATAAAAAGCAACCCGCGGAATTCCGCGGGTTGGTATATTCTTCACAAAATGCCTTAAAATACTCTTCCCAGGACTTATTTTCCAACAACCTTCTAAAGTCTTTCCTAAACTGCTGACACATATTTGTTACATTTATATAACCATCCTTGTCTCTACGTAAGACTTCAATACCGTTGTAAGTGCCTTTTGTGAATGTTTCGCCATTAGATTTGTTCGTGAACGTTTTTGCTTCGACTGTCATACTGTTCTTACAATAAAAATAAAAAATATTTTTGGCTTAACCGTCGGACATTCGTTTGTGGCTTAACCGTCGGACATTCGTTTGTGGCTTAACCGTCGGACCACAACGATAAAAATCTCATTTTAACTCACTTTTTCTATCTTAAGGAAATTCATGAAAATTCAACGGGTGAGAAAACAGGTGAGAAAAGAGGTGAAATCTCACCTCTTCACCTAAAATATATTTTTCAATACTTTTTCAGCACTTCTCCGTAGTTATATATGAAAGACAATTCGAGATAAAAGTCGTAGTACAATGGAACAATATGTTGCACACCATTTGTTGTGAACCAAACTTGAAAGTCAGAGAAACTGTTACTCGGTGGTTCGTAGAATTTAGAAGCAAAGTCATAAAAGTCCTTACCAATACAAAGAAAACTATTGTTGCTTGAACTGAAACTTGCATGACACATAACATTTTGAGGGTCAAACACGTTTCTATAAACTGTCAAATCTGTTGGTGGGCGTATAAACCAGAACGGACCGTCAGGTGGTAATGGTTCGTTCTGGTTTAGTAACCGAAGAAATTGTGCCCAAGAACGTTTGTCTACTTGCCAAAATAAAAACTGTGTATCTCTTGGAGGGTTATTTTCAATCCTTTGAAATGAAACTGTGGAGTTCATCTTGTCATATTCTAGTTTCAGATAGTATGTTCCGTTTAGTAGAGAGTCGTATTTTTCTTGCAATTCCCAGTAGTATTTGTTTATTTGAGTTTGAAAGTCATTTAGAGTCTTCTCAAGACTTTCGTCTGAACGAACTGTAAAGATTCTCATTTCATCAAATTTGTCTAGTAGACCATCAGAACCTCTATATTGACCGTGAAAATATACTGCAAACATAAACGCGTTAGTTCTTTTTGAAAACAAAACTCTTCTAAATCCTATTGCCTTTGCATCTGAAGGACTTTGAAGCCAACGAATTGGATAGTCAAACCTGTATGAACGGGATGAAATTTCTTCATCTGATACAGTCCTACCAGCGTTTGTATAGATATAGTCTAACGGTTTTGTATCTGCTACTTTTGTTCTTTGTTTTTCAACCTGAAACATTTAATATATGTAAAAATATACTGTT